TTGGTCAGATTTTGGTCATGTTTGCCTGTTTCGCAGAAAAGAGCTGAAGAAAAAGTTAAATCTCCACTAATACTGATGGAATCAAAATTACTTCCTGCACTCATGTTTGACAGTCAATTTAATTCTGGGTATGTCTCCAGAAAGAAGAATTTAGAGCTCTTTATACTCTAAATAATGTCAAAGTAATTGGTTGTTTTGGAGTTTTTTTCCCTCTTTACAAAAGTAGGAATGTGCACTTTTAGTACTTTGGTGGAGAAACATAGAAGAGAGTATTAATTCTAAAAACATTTGCACAGGTTTAACTGATCGTAGTTTAAGAAAAAAATTGAGATGTGTTTTCATGTTTTTTTCTTAAACCCCTTTTTTCTGTTGAGTCAAGAAAGCAGTGAGGTCATGGTGGGTGCATGAGAACTGACCTGAATATTAATAGACCTAACTACATGCTTTGGTCTTTCCTTAAATGAAAGCACCCTTAGCTAGGCAGGATGCTTTTCCCTTTTTCTATTTTTGCAACAAACATCTCATAATATGTCTTTAATAATGTAAATTGTCCAGAGGCTTTTCTGAAAATGTACTCTTGCATTAGCGCTACCTGTAGTTGCTGCCACAGTAGTCCCTAGCTGCATAGCCTCGTTGAAAAGGCACTGTGCTTTCCTACCTTGTTTTGAAGGATGCAAGCTCTGGTTTTCACTCTGCATTGAAATAACATTTAAGTTTGGGGTTTTTTAAATGTGAAGTTAGTGTAGAAGTATTGCATGACTACCTCAGTTCTGGAGTGTTCCTTCAAGCCACTGAATACTGAATTTACTTTGTAAGCTCTTTGGGACAGAAACCTTCTTTTTGCCTTGCCTTTGGGCAGTGCTTATCCCAGTGGCAACTGTACTCTGGGTCCTGAGGCAACCTGATGCAAATCATTTTACAGATAAATTAGAAAATCAGCTCTTGGTTATGTCTTTCCAATACTCTCTGCTGAATATTGCTGTGTAAGTTAATTGTGTAACGTCTAAAAACATAGTTCTGGAACTGAGCATCCCCTTTTCAGGAAGAACGTGGAGTATTTTATTTTCTATGATAAAACGTAAGACTTGTGTTTCGCTCTTGAGGCAATGTGCAAATAGGGACAAGCATTTGTGTATTCATGAAGAAAACAAGAGAGTCCCTCTAGTTTTGTGTCCGTCACTCTGAAATACAATTGTGGTCCACAGGAAATGCCTATTATCACCTACAAGTGCACAAGTCTGCCCTAAAAGGGTGTTGCTATTCCATCTCCAGCTTTGGGAGAGCTGAGTGGAGGGAGGAGCAGGTGACATTCCTACAGGCCAGGACTATATGTGCTAGAGGATTTCCTTCTGAACCCCACTGAGGCGGTCTCAGTCTACACCAACACAAGTCTGGGGTGTTCAGATTCCCAAATACACTTGGGCACGCCAGGGTTTAGCCCTGAGAGGGAGCCTACCCTCTATGTTTAGCGACTAGGGGGAGTTAGATACTAGCATGTCTGTTGGAAGTGAGGAGATACAAAGCCAGCTACGAGGGAAAATGAAAATGGGAAGCATCTCGCAAAACTCATTTGTCTGGAAGTGGGATACCAATTGCAGCTGTAATAGAAGCAGGTCTGCAACACTCACAACTTAAGCTCTGACTATTTAAGTCATAGCTTAAATTCTTTCCTTTATTCTGCTGCCCAAGATCAGGCTGGTTGTGTAGTCTGATTGGGTTTACTCTTCTCTTTGAAAACATAGCCAGAAGAAGCAGTAGTTTTAGTGGTCATTGTGTTTTGTGAGGTAGCTTAATCACAGCTCACCTAGAAAGTGAGGCCATGTTCTGCATATTACTTAGCCTGAGGTTTAAACCCACATTTCTCTTATGATGGAAGAAGAAACTAAGTTGGCTGGGAAGGTGCTAAACTACTCCTTTCCTTTTGAGTTTAAGTCATGGTACAGGAAAGAGATAATGAGAGAGGAAGGAAGAGAGGGACTGTTATTTTTGGCCAGTAAGGACAAAATCGTAGGCTTTGATTCTTGTCCAGACATGACTTCGGCATTTAGACTTGGGAACAGAGTATACAGTGATACTGTAAGCAAGGACTTGGAAACAGGCTCTGTATCCATCCTAAGTTGTTTATCTCATACCAAGTACAAAATGAACATGACCTAAGTAGGAAATAGTAACAAACAGTAAGGTGAACAAAAGGATTTAGAAGACTGATGTAGATTTCAAGCTAACAAAACAAGAAAAAAAGAAAAGCCTGCCTTCTAGCTTGAAGGGTTAGTGTTCCAGGGGAAGGGGCTGGTACGCAGGGCAGCATCCTGAGTGGAGTCAGCAATGTCGCAGATTAGAAACTCATTGCTTCTGATTTCACACAGATCTGTCTCTGTGCATGGGATCCATTCTGACGTAGGGTTTGCATTCTTTATCCTGAAATA